TATACAAAAAAACATAAGTAACTAATTTATAACTTAGGTCTTAGGTACTATCTACCTAGAATCTTCCATGATACCTAGTAGGTACCTACCTACTTAGTTAATAACGTTTATTTTTCTTTATTTAAAATGATAAAATATAGGTAAAAAAAAACGTATGCATATGTGAATTTAAAAAATAAATAGTAATAAAATGTATCATTTTTTAGAAATCTTTCTCTTTACATAAAAAATTAATTTTTTGTTTATTTTATCTGAGATAATTTTGCCGCCCCCCCCTTAAAACCGGCCCTGCGTATGCTTCAACAAATTTTAGATTCTGAGCGGAGCGATGAATGTATTGGTTTTACAATGATGTATGTTTTTATATTTTTATTTATATTTTTGTGTCTGTCATCACGTTTTGGGACAGTAAAAGTGCTTCGATTTTCTTCAATAGTACCTTTTCTGATAGGAAAGTGAATCTAGTTGGTACTTTGGGGGGTCAAAAGTAAACATTTTCCAGTAGTTTTCACAAGCGCCGGGAAAAAACAACATAAAAATTAAGGAAAAACGGGAATTTTTACGCAAAATCGATTTTCCAAAATATCGAATTTGGTTTTTGGTGTAACTTTAAAACAAATGACCGTAGATACATGAAATTTTCACTGGTTGTTTATATTTGCATTTTCTATACACGATAACATTTTCAAAATATTTTGATTTATTTTGAACTGTTTAGGGACATTTTCATTTTTCATTTTATTTTAGTTTTTTTTTTAGAAATATCAATAAAATTTTATTTGTTGGTTGCGAAAGCTTGAAAATTTAATAGAAGGCTCCTAACATGTTGTTTCAAAGGCAGATGAAAAATATTAAAAATCCTTAGTCACAATTTTTTTTTATAAGCATTTAAAGTTCAAAAATTTACAAAATATGGAAAAATCACGAAAATTAGCAAATTATTTTGAGTTAAGAATTCGTAAAAATTTTTCTTTTTAAATCTAAGATTTGAAAATCTAATACAAGATTCCTTATAAGATTATCTACCTTTATCAATAAAAAAATCTCTACCGGACAGTCAAGTTAAATTTTTATGAGCGTTTGAAATTAAAATTTTTACAACATTGGATATTCACTCGATTTCTCATGTAGCGATTTCCTTATTTTGTTGTAATTCAAAAACGAATAACTTTAGATACATGAAAATTTCACTGAATATTTATATTAGCATTTCCTATACACCATACAATTTTGAAAATATTTTTACTCTTTTTGAGCTGTTTATGGACATTTACATCTTTCAATTTTTAAAGATCGAATTTTGACAAAATGTATCAAAATCTCGAAAATTATAAATCATTGTAATTAATAAATTATAAAATGTTCAGTTTTTATAGCTAAGGATTGCAAATTTAAAACAAAGGTACTCATAAATAGTTCATACTGTAACCAAAAAATCTAAAAAATATATGAACACAGTTATTTTTTACAGAAATTTTAAATTCAAATTTGGACGAAATTACATATTAAAAAACCTAGAATAACTATTTTAGTTATTTTGTTGTGATTGAATAATGTTATTCGTGAGTACTTGAAACTTCTAAAGTGTGCTATTATATATCTATGATAGTATCACGGTATGTTGTTGATGTATAACGCGTTATCAGCACCTAATGGATATTGTGATATGATTAATTTGGAATTTATTATAGGTACCTACTAGCTATTATAGGTCAATTTTTTTTCTAATACCATAGATATGTATACAATATTATGTCTTATACCTAGACTGACATACCATCTCCGCTCAGAATCGTTTTTCTTATACAATGATATTATATCATTGAATTCAAATTTAATACCATCCATTATACAGTGACCCACTTGTAACCTACTGTACAGCAGAGCGACACCCACTTGCCCACCTTTTTGGCTATGATTCCTATACACATATAATAATATTAAAACAATTACCCACATAATAATAATAATAAATTAATACTATTCATACATTATAAATACTGAAAAATAATTCATAATGAAATATTTTATTTATTTTATTATTGTGCCTATACACCTTTAATATACAAATTATTTCAATTTTTAATTTACTCATAGCTAATACGATATACCAAAATATAAAAATGTGAAATGTGAAATATAAGTTTTGGTAGTATTTATTTAATTTTAATTTGAAAGCGTTGTTGTAAAAAACTCAAAATTTCAATTAAATTCTAATTCATGCCATAATAATATTATAAAATTAAAATTAATTAATTAAACTCACTGTAGGTACTTTTTAAATAATGTACCTGGACTTTTGGTTGTTATCTTTTTGTGAAGCTCTCGTATATAATTGCCACCTGTATTAAATGATACTATAGCAGTACAGCAGTATATATTCTAGTGGTGTACGACTGTTTTTGAGAAAAATTAATTCGTTTACCGCCTATGTGCTTATTAATGACACTATTAAACTGTTCGCAGATGTTGTTATCAACATCAAGTAATAAACTTTTTGCATTATCAGCAACACGTCTAAGTGCAGTTGTAATTTCTTTCATCAAACCACTTTGCATTACTTCGTCGATCAAATTCAGTTCGTATAACTTTCTTCCAGTGCAAAAATATCGGGCACAATTAAAGTGTTTGCCAAATATATGGTATGGACTATTTAAAATATCCTTTCGCAAATTATATTCAATTTATAATATGTACCACTTTACCTGGTTGTGGCTTAGATTGTCTACATTGAATGATTTCTGTTAATTGTTATAAATGGTTTTTTGAGTACCTACCTATTTCTTTTTTTTATCATACCCAAATTGTTCGATAATTCAAGTAATACGGCCTATTTAAATAGTTTACAGCAAAACTACCTATTATAAAAGTTTTAGAGAAGAATTTTTTCAACAATTGAAATAAGCTCGATTTTTTATATTTTTATTAATAAGTTAAATAATTAATCGATAAAAAGTAAAAAAAAAAAATGTTAATTTACCATGCGATATTGGACGATTGGAATACGATATCAAAAATCGGATTTATTACGATTGTTAAAAAAATTCTCCTCTACCACTTTTATAATAGGTATTTTTACTGTAAACCTCTTCAATAAGCCGTATTAATTGAAGAACAAAAGTAGTTTTTATTTGTATAAAATTCGGATAAGAAGAGTTTGGCCTAGTGAACAAAATATGGTTTCGTAATTCAAGTAATACGGCTTATTGAAGCAGTTAACAGTAAAAATACCTATTATAAAAGTTGGAGAGAAGAATTTTTTTAATAATCGAAATAAGCCCGATTTTTTATATTTTTATTAATGAGTTAAATAATTAATCGATAAAAAGTAAAAAAAAAAAATTGTTAATTTATCATGCGATATTGGACGATTGGAATACGATATCAAAAATCGGATTCCTTACGATTGTTAAAAAAATTCTCCTCTACAATTTTTATAATAGGTATTTTTATTGCAAACCGCTTCAATAAGCCGTATTACACTATTACCTACTTGAAGAACAAAAGTATAGTTTGTATAAAATTCGGATACGAATACAAAATATAAAATCGAACCAAATTAAATATTATTTGTCACAATTAATATAATAATCATTTTCTTATCTGGTTATTTATAAACTATGCACGGGCGGTCGGCTGCGATAGAGAACCTGTTTTGACCCCGGTGCGGTACCGCCGTTAATGCGCGCGGGGTGGTGGTATGCACAGCTAGTATCGAACGCTGCCACTGACTACGGGCGCAGCACTTGCCGAGCGTAATTTTCTGCAGTTTTCTTATAAAACATACTTTGCGCGTTCCAATAATATGGGTTACTGAGTGGCTTAATCGTAAAAACACCTATGAACAAAATTAAAGATAATAATATTTTCAAGGGCCCCACGTAGGTTTTTTTCTTTGTTCCAAATATTAAGCTCAGTACATCGTTTAAAAATAATGATTTTTTCAACATGTTAAAATGACAGTAACTTTTCAAAAAATTAATTTTTTGAAAAAAGGCTACGTGGGGCCCTCGAAAATATTATTATCTTTAATTTTGTTAATAGGTGTTTATGTCCTAAAACCACTCTGGAGTGCAAAATTTGGAATCTAAGCGAGCATGTTTTTGGTATTGAAAACGCCGGTACTACGTCCTCTTAATCAATCCTAATGATTAATGAGCTTGAAAGAAAATCCACAAAATATTATATTATGAAGTACTAAATTAGTAGAATAAAATTTAAAACACTTTATAAAAATATAGCATTATTAATATATAAAAAAAAAATTATTTTTTCAATTAGTGAAGTGTACTGTGCATACACAGCATACGCATACTCTACGCCACTGCCCCTTGGTATATTTAATATAATACGGTTGTAAATGTTAACTTTTTAAAATATCTTATAACAACGTATGAAAATGTTGATAACATTTAATCAACCATCGAATACAACATAACATAATATTTCGTAATTTGTATTATGTCATAATATTTACTCGGCAGAGGTGTCACGTTAAAATATTTAATGTGGGGTGTCGTTGGTATTTTTGACCGACATAATATAAACGGTTTTTAATCCTGAAAAGTTAGTTTTTTAACATACTTGAATATATCATATGCATTATGCATATTATTATAAACTAGGTACGTGTCTAAAAAGAAAAGAAATAATATTTAACAAGCTATGAATTAATAATTATAATATTTTTACAATTTATTTTAAGATTGACAGAACAAATGACCGATTTTTGATAAAAATAGATATGCCAATAGAAATGAAGATAATTAACTAACTTACTGTTTACATCAAAAACCAATTAAAACAGGTGGTGTTCACGTGTATGAAAGTTATTGGTATAACAACCAATTGTTTCGAGGTTTAACTGTATAAGAAATAACTTACACTATTAACTGTAAGAATAACTTCGGTCAACAAGACCAATGACACCTCTCCCGGATATATTATTATCATTATGGAAACAAAAAGTAATGTGAATTTGTTTTTATAATTATTTTTAGGGAGCACAAAAAATCCTGTTACCTCATACACCACACAAGCCAATGACAGTAAAACAAATTTTGAGGTAAGCATATAATAATATATTATACGATTATTACATAGGCATGGATGATCAGTTTTATTTAGTCATTTGGGCGAGGCCCTACATTTTAACAACTCTAGCATCAATTATATGAGTAAAAATACTCGGAAACTATATACTCAGAAATTGTGTTGTTCACTAATCACATGAACATTTAGATAACAATAAATAGTAAAAATTTAAGTATTCGTTGGTATTCAACAATGATAATTAATTGTAGTAAATGTTTTATTAATTATTGTAGTAAATCTGTATTGTATACTTTAACAATAATTCTGAATTAATTTGTATTCTATGATGATAAACTTATAAAATACAATTAATATTTTAGTCCATATAACATACACCTTAATTTTCCTTATTAGTTATAAGTACCAATAAATTAGCCTTAATAAATAAGTATCATTTGTATTTATCACGTAACTTAAGTATTGATTCATAGAATTTTAACTCTGGTATGTACTTAGAAACCTTTAAAAAATATATTTTACAAATCACGTACTTGGAAAGCAATTTGTTATAGGCAACACATGTATGATCATATTATTAACATTAGTTTAAACAAATTGGTTTATTAACATACGTTTAATTTGTACCCATTCAAAAACAATGTGTAGGCACCTACTTATATTTAAATGTCATTTATGCTTTATAATTATTATAAATTATTAATATTAGTTTGACAAATATAAAGGACTTTTAACAATTTCTCTTAAAAATAACTTAAAATACCTTCGTCAAAACTGACAAGTTATTCAGTAAAGTACTACCTATGTTTTGTGTACCTACTAAAGTACTGATAAAATAATATGTTACTATTTATATAACTATTACTGTTTTTTTTTATTATTTTAATGAAATTCTGTTAAAATAATAAATTATTAACTAAATAATGTTTTGCTAGTTAATAATTCATTTTAAAATTACTTACAAGAACCATACATTTACCAATATTTTGTTAGGTTACTTCTCTCGCCTACAACTTTTCTAGATAAACATATAATTTGTCTGTATTATAAATAATTGTTTTTTCTTCTAACCGACATATTTAGGTTATACCTTGATACATTGTAATTAAATTTAGTGGACTATTCATGTGATCAAAGATCATATGCTATTATACAATATATATATTGTATAATAATATACTATTTATCTACACCTATATAATAAAACCATACGGAACTTTACGACTCAGAACGTTTAACATTGATGGTCCCTGGAGACCTTATAGAATCACACATGACCGTGATTAGGTTTTAATTGGGGTGTGACATTTTAACATTGTCCCTAGAGAGGATCTAATAAATTTATGTAAAATGGTTTTCTGTTCTGTTAAAACATAAAAATAAAATATACTCATTGTACTTCTTTTCGTTGTAATTCTAGTATTATTTGGCCTGTAATAGTAACGTGAATAATAAAAAATAATCGTGATTAACCCATAAAAATACTGAATTTTTCTTGATAAAAATTTGAACTATCGATATTATATTTTGTAGATCTATAATACAGAATGGAACTTATCTTTATATAATCTTGTATTCAATTATGTTTTTTTTTTTAAATTTCTTTGTGTCAATTGTTCAATAATATTGTTCAATGCCAAAGGCCATTACACGTATTTTGGTAAAATATATTCCTGCATCCAGTTTTTACCTTTAAGAATGCTCAATCTTGAAGAATCGTTATTATTAATATTATATTTCTTTATACTTCCATATAAGCCATAGTTATTACTTATTACCTACCTACCTGTGTGAAATAACTCACATTTTTTAGTTTTCCATGTTCTTTCACTCACATCATGAAATAAGTCTTTAGCCGCTGATAAATTCTCTATAGTGATGTTTTCAGCTCTTTTTTTCCCGACAAAAAATAAATAGTAATAATTTGGTAGCTACTCATCAGTTATTAATAATAAATTATTATATATTGCAAAAACGGAACTCAATAAGTACTTTGAAGGAACGTAAATTAAGCGAAGGCATATGCGGTGAATAAATGTGTTTTTCACGGACAACGCACTTATGGTTAGAAGTTTTATTAATGCGCGCCTATTTCATGTGATGTATATGTGTAAAACTTCCATTATTTTACGATCGCCAGTAAAACGTACCGTAAAATTGATTTATCAAATATTATATTTCCTAGGAACATCATTATGTTGGCATAATACACAAAATACCAGTATGAACTGACAGATTTATTATTATACTTATTATTTCGGTAGAAACCACATGAAATACATTACAACAACAATAATATAATAACAAGAAGTATAATAGAGAAATTTGTAAAATGTTGATGGTTTTTAATAATACGTGAACGTTTGAGTGAAAATTGTGGTTTCACGGTTATTTTAAGATGAAAAATGAAAACCTCCACCATTTCTCTGAGATAATAATAATACTATTTATTTTATTTTACGTATATATTTATATTATTATCATAATAACGAAAAACTTAAAAAAAAACAAACTAAATCACAGGCCGCAGCGTTATATCAATGGTAAATCCTCACTGGGTCGTATAATAATGCGTTTCTTCATCAATCTAACGCCACGCTGTCGTGGAGGTGTGCTCGCAGGGACGGCCGCCGTAACGACCACGAGTCCCCGCGGTGCTTTGGCCACCCTACCACACGTATACAAAATCAACAGGTATATTGCATTATATTTTATCCTCCAAACTAAGTTATTCACATCGTTCTTGCTTTTCTTCGATATTTCTTAACATTATTACACGTGTGCCGCCGTAGTCCGCCGATCTAGGGAAAATGTACGTTGCCATTACATAGGACATCACCGAATAGTTATAGCCGTTATTTAGTCGTCAACAATAAAAATAATAGTAACAATGACATAGTAAATAGTAACAATAACATAGTAAAATATCGATGATTATTAAATAATATTTATTGTATTAAATATACCTACGTAAAAAATATAGTAGTTAGATTTGTATTCTCGAGTAAGAATTAAAAAAATATATATTGGCTACTTGGAGGGTTGGGGCGGCCACCTTCTCCCCTAAATATCTGAGGAAATATTAAAAATTAAGTATTTTATCGAACAGGCAATAATATACAACAATAATATTAGATTCTATATAAGATATAAGATATCAAGATATCTTAATATAAGATACTAAAGTATATTCATAACAATATATGAAACACAATGTGAAATTGTTTACGTTTTTGACCAAGAAAATAAGTCGATGTTTATTTTTCATTTTATTTAAAAAAAATTTTTCTTTCACCTTATAGTGAAAAATGTATATACACTCTATAAACAACTTGTCTGGTATCCACTCATGGGATTAACTAGGAAATTTTGACGAAATAATAATAATAATAATAAAAAAAGACCATATAACATGTTTAGTTTTACTTCTCCCAAGTGTATGCCCAAGAAAAACAAAATGGAAATTTACATATTAATACGTTTTCAGGTTTCCCTTTATGAATAAAAATATGTTACTTTATTCTCTTTATCTGTATTTTTTTGTTTACTATATACAAGACATATTCCACCGACCAATAGACTCATATTAGTATAATATGTATTATATACATGTCCTGCAAGCTAACTTTATATTAAAAATTGAAAATAATATAAATAGTAATATAAAATGTTTTTTGGAAATATATATCCAGTCCTTAAGGTCAAACAAAATTAACATCCCTGCTATACTGTCTATTTTGATGATATTGTTTCTGACAATATTAATGATACCAATAAATTATTTGCTGATTATTTTTCTTTGTATTCGTTGATTATTCCAAAATTATTGATGTATTATGTTGATTCTTTGTTAAATAATTATGATCTCAATTTGATCTCTTGGTTTATTTTGGAGACTGAGATTCCTGATATTCTAAGTTCATTAAGTGTATAAACTGCTTCAGGACCAGATGGAATCCTTTAGTTATTTTAAAAGCTTGTAAATCATTATTAATTAAACCTTTGTTTTACTTATTGAGTTTGTCATTCACTGGACTCACTACTGGGAATTTTCCCGATACCTACTTGGAATTATTACACCAATTTATAAATCTGGGGATAGAAGTAATATACGTAACTATCGTCCTATTTCTAAACTGTCGGTTATTCCTCTAAATTATTTGAGACAATCATTACAAAAAAATTAACAATCTAATTGGCTAATTACTTAAGCCCAAATCAACATGATTTTTACCTAAGCATTCCATTCTAACGAATCTTTTAACCAACCAAACATAATATCTATTACAATCATATGATCAAAATTCTCAAGTTGATGCAATATTTACAGATTTTGAAAAAGCCATCGATAAGGCTAATTTATGGTATTTTATTACATAAGTTAAAGGCATTTGGTTTTAATTATTCATTTTTATTATGGATCCCTTCTTATACCTACAAAACTGATTTAAGCCGTTTCATTCTAAGATTCTATAATGAATTTAACGTATCACCAGGTGTTCTTTAAGGTTCACATTTAGGTCCCCTGTTTTTTCTAGTTTTTATTAATTATTTGTCCCGAAGAATTAATAATTCTATACAATTATTACTTTTTGCAGATGATGCTAAATTATTTTGTTCAATTCATACATCATCGGATTCTAAAATACTACAGTGTCACTTTAACAAATTGTATGCTTGGAGTATCAATAACTGTCTTAAATTAAACATTGATACATGCAAAATTATTTTATTTAACCGTCATAAAAACCCAATTATATTCAAATATAAACTTAATGATAATGAATTAAGCAGAGTATTATAAGTGACTTGAAACTATGAAAACAAATTTACACTTTTTGAAATAATTAGTGTTGTTTGATAAAAGAATCACCCGGTATACATAGGCATGCACTTAGATTATACTTCTCACTAAAACAACATTAAATATACCTAATTGTTTTTAAACAAAATAATGTAGGTCAAGTCTTAAGTTTAGTTTTAATTTGTATTAAGAAGACGTTATACCCATGC